AGTTACATGCCGTGCTTAATGGCATAATTTAAAGCTGCAAATTTTGTCATAAATTTTAAAATTGATTACCACGAGAAGGCAGTTTGGTAGTTTCCATGTTGCAGTTACTCCAACTCCGACTTGCTGTTGCTGTTGTTTTTGCTCGTTAGTCGAGCATATTGCATGCCACATGATGGCTACATTGGCGGCACCCAGTGTTAAATTTGTGTTAGCCGCTCTCGAGTGTTGGTAAATAAAAATTGCACACGTTCCTTTTCTCTGCAGATTTTTCCACCTTTTTTTTTTTGCTTATTTTTCAGTCATTTTTCACTTTTTTTTTTTTTTTTTTGATTTTTTAGTAATTTTTCTTACCAACTAATCACTTGCCATAATACGGGAGAGTTGGATTGTTTAGAAAAAAAAGAAACACTGACTTCAAAATTATTCATGGAAACAGCTTTATAAGGTCGGGACATGGGATTTCATTCATATTTAAACCATATTTTACGAAACGCGATAGCGTGGTCAAGGTGTTTAATCAAAAAATCTCATTTAGATGCCGAGATACAACAAACAGCAAAATAATTCAACTTTGAATGAAATTTGCATGAGCTTGAGACCTTAGACCTTAAATTGTACAAGATAAAATATTATAGTGAAATTTATTTCTGGTAAACTCTGAAGGCTCTTCTGCACTTTTAGGTAACTCAATAACTCAATTTTATGGCATTCGAGTATGTTTCGCAAAAAAGTAAACGACTGATACCCATAATTATTTAATTTCCTGATGCGGGCAAGTAAACAGTAATTGCATAACTTAATGCTTACCCTCATTGGCGATTTCCTTTTGCTGAAATTGAAAACAAGTACTGAAAGGGAGGGCCACCAAACTGGCTAAAAGGAGTCGAGCTGGTGGCACAACCCATCGATTTGCTACATGCTATGGGCGGCACATCTCGTGAGTGATATAAATGGCTTCATAAAATTTTGTAACCATAATTCAGACGGTGGAACCAATGGGGGAATTGTTTTATCAGTGGATTAAAATGGCGCTCCTCCGCGATGCAACCAATAATCAGAAAAGTACGAAGACAATGTTTTTGGCTGCCGGCAGCAAAGTGCTGCCCATTAAGGCGATACATTATAATTAAGGGGAAGCAGAAGCGTCGACTACCAGCAGCTGCCAGCGGAAATTGTACGAGTAGATAAGATTGTAAGACAGCAACTAAGTATAAGTGTGGATCGTATGCGAACATAACATGATAACATCATCAATAGCCGGCTATTCACAGCGCCTATGCAATTATTTAAATTATATGCACCGCAACGTTTCTGTTCGTTTAAAATGAAATTAGTGTTATGTAGTTTTCTCTCCCCGCTTACACCTTAAACTCTATAATCAGTCTGGTCTTGTGGATGCGGCCAACCAGGCGAACCCGTCCGTCCATCTTCATAATACGTTATGTGCGCCCCGCCACTCATTCAGGCCAACACCATCGACTTTGGCGGCTCCGCTAATCATTTTTTGATATGGCCACTAATAATAGACGTTGGGCCTGGCATTTTGTCTCACTCGTTTTGGGGGGCATCCATCCATCTGCCACATTATTGGTTAAAAGATAAGATTTTAATGGTTTTCCCTTTTCACTGCCTTTTATAACTATAATTGATTGGCTGCGCTGCAAAAAAAGAAAACTTAAATTAGGGGTCCAAGGTTTTTGTGCAAGGTGTCAGAGTGGATAAATGGGATATAAACACGAGACAAGTTGGAAAGGTCGAAACTTATTCTTTATGGCCACTCCCGGATAAAAAAAAAAACAATGAATGACGCTAAAAGTTAGAGCTTCCAACAATATATATATATTTGAAATATGTACCTTATAAAAATGTGAAGGAAAGTCACTAGTTGATTGCTAATGAATATATAACCATTACCGCTTCTTATGATGAGAAAGATCGCCTCAAATATTAATGTGTACTATGGATTTCTTTCGGGGGAAAACTACAACCTTTCACAGCTATTACTTAAACACAGTTTACCATACTTTCTCAAAAAACCAGTACCAACATGGCTCATATATTATCAAGCGTAATCATAAACCCAAACTGCTGTGCACATAATCACTATTCCCAAGCACCGCCAACCTACGTTCCATCATTAAGTCGAACAGACAATTTGTCAAGTGAAACAAGAAAATTTGCATAAAAAACTAACAAACAACTAACATTAGACACACCAAAAAATTTGCATGTCTGACCGACTGAAGTTGGCCAACGGTGCAACAACAGCAACCACCGAAAGACAAGCTACCAGCAACAAATAACAATTTTCCGCAAACAAACTGGCCTCTGTGCACAGTCATGGCCACTGCAATAGAACTTGAAAAAAATTAATATTATAGATAATATGTTATATGTAAGTAAAAAGAGCAAGCCGAAAAACCCTTGACGTAATCAAGGTAGGTTAATAAATATTGCAATCTATAGGCAAGGCTTATATTTTTATTTATATCTTTATTTCTATTTTGTTTCTATTTATTATATTTTACAGCATTTTTTTTCTATGGGAGCTATGGATGATACAGTAGTCCGGTCCTTAAATGAACACCAATAGAAAGCAGACTTTTATGAAAGTTTAATGTGGATAGAGTAAAAAATGAGGGATTAGATTGCGCAGAAACGGACGGACAGCCAAATACACGCATATAGTTATATCAACTTGGCTGAAGAAACTGATCATGATAAAATCATGATAGCTTATCTTACTTAAGCTTATAATTTGCTCATTTCCCGGAAACTATAACATAGATTTTTTGATATTATATGCTTGGCCATGACTGTGGCTCACAATGCTGGTAACACAGAAGCAGCGGATGAAGTGCAATTACCAAAAGCGCGCCACAGAGCCAAGAAGATATCAAAGGAGATCGGCAAAGAGGCAAGTTGTTATTGTTGCTGTGTTTGCTGTGGCCAAACAACATGTGCGTTTGTGTCCGCAACGATTAAGTAAAAACAATTTACACGCCTGCCTGCCACAAAACGAGAGGCCGGCAGTGAAAAAGGCAGGAGCAAGAAAATGAAGCGATAGGGGTGAGCGTGAAAACCCCATTTTTGAATCTTTAATATAGAAAAATTAATAACAAAAACTAAAATTTAATTTAGATTAAGATTGTAATGACAAAAAAAAAACGTTTTTGAGCAACAAAATATCTTAGATCCTTAAAAAATGATTTGAAAAACTGATATTTTTAGGCACAACAATTCAATACTGCTATAATATATTTGAAACTTATCAGTTCTCTAGTAATAAAATGAAAGTATCCAACTCGAAAAATAAGCGTACTTAAAAATATCTTAAAATGTAGTCCCAAGAGATTAGATGCTTGCCGCAAGTGGCAAGTGCCATCTCTAAGCCGGATCGGTCCTTGTGTCTAAGCCATGGCGTTAATATGCGTCGCAGCGGCTTAGCTTGTTGGCCACGTTACGAGGTTTCACCTTGTTGTTGCTCCTGCTGCCGCCGTTGTTGGCCGCATGTTAGTGCTTCCTTTTTGGCATCGGCAACATGTCAATTATATCGTATCAAATTAATAATTGTACGCGTCGCGTCGCATCGGACGTCTTCGCCCCATTCACCCAAATGAAGTTGGCTCTGAAGGAGCCTGGCAGTGTGGATGGGCCACTGGAGTTGGCTGGGAATGGGTATGGGGATGGGGATGGGATTGGAGCCGGATCGCAGAGCTTGCCTCGCTGGCTGGCTGCTTGCCACTAATCGTGGCAGACAAGCATGCCGAACTGGCCGCAAAGGCAATATATTTAAAGTTGCCTGTCAATTTTGGATGCTGTTAAGCGTTGCTAACACGCCATGTTTGTTGAGTACGCGATATCAAATTGAATGTGTGCACAGCCATGGGCAAAAGAGTATATCAGATCCGAGCATAAAATGTCGTGTCGAAGATTCTTAAGAGTGTGATTTGGAAAGTCTGGCTTAAGGGCGACTCGCTTAGTTGTTATAATCTAAGTGAATTGTATGCCTTTTGTCACTGCCTATACATTGGCCATGCTTATTGCGATTACCAGTACAACAGTAGTACAGAAATATCAACATTTTCTGTAATATCGGTAGAAATTTGGAAAAAAAATAATAAATTGAAAAAAAAAACTTAAACATTAAAAAACAAGCAAAAAGTTTGTTGAAAATCTATAGAAATTTACAAGAAATATAAAAAGTGAAAAAATTCCACAACATATTTCAAAAGTGTGGATGTGACAGTTTTGAGCGGTTTGTGGCCGTAGGAGTGGGCGTGGCAACATTTGGAAACAAACTTGCGCTGCGTCTATGTCTCTGGAAGCTGCATGCTTAATCTCAACATTCTAGGCTTTCATACGGACAGACTTACAGGCAGACTTACGGACGAACGGACAGACAGACGGACATGACCATTTTGACTCGGCTATCCTGTTCAAGAATATATACACTTTATATGGTCGGAAACGTTTTCTTCTGCCTGTTACATACTTAACAAAGAAACTAGTATACCCTTTTACTCTACGAGTAACGGGTATAATAACTCCTGGAACTCAGTTTAGCCAACTTTATTGAATCGCGCCAAAAGCGGCGGAAACAAACTGGTTTAGGCCTTTCAGAGCGCCGTTGTCATTTAGTTGTCTCAAAGTAAAAAAGGTAAGAAAAATCAAAGCCGAAACGGTAATTATCTTTTGACAGCACTTAAGTTGAATTTGGTAATGACAGTCGCGCTAAAGATCGGCCGGCGAAGCGGCGGCGCTTTAGCCCAACTGACGGCTGAGGTTAAAGCCCGGCCGATTAAACTGACAGTTTGTCGGGCTCGTATTTTTCAGTTAAAAAGCGTGTTCAATGTGACTTGGCACACAGCCGAAGAAATACATTGCGCTATTAGTAGCACACAAATCACCGTGTTTCCACATCATGAGACAGTCGTGGAACATGAAGTTTAGTAACGATAAGCGTTGCTGATCCGTCCTTCCCTACATATCGACTTGTATGTATTCATAGTAGTGTTTATTTATTTAAACATGCATCGCCATAGTGAAAACTGATATATCATCTAGTTTTGTTATTCTATATATATTTTTATGTCTAATGCAATGAAAGAAATATTTAAACATCAAAACAGAAATATGGTTTCAAACCATGGATGAAAGTGCTGATGCATTGTGAGCAATATGACGTGATGCTAATTGATAATATTTACGGAAAAAAAAAGTTATGAAGAGTACGAAGAACAACTGCCTCTTAAAGTAATACTGCCCAATTAACAATTATTCGGCCTTACCTCCTTTTCAAGCCTCACTAGTGGCCAAAACGGATTTGAAGTAATCACTATCCAGCTGTTCAATATCCTTCGTAAACTGGGTGACTAGCTGGGTCAAATCCTCCACGTTAATGTCGACGTTGTTCCCAGCAGTTGACAGCTGTTGAATAGCCACTTGAATCTTTTCCAGCAGGGCCTTATCCTCTTTTTTCTGCTTATCCACATGTTCGTCCTCGAACTCATTGTACACCTCCTGCGCGTTTTGGACGACATGTTCGGGAAAATTGGCTAAACGCGCCACCTGAATGCCAAAGCTCTTTTCCATGACCCCTGGACGCACTTGATACAGCAGCGTAAAGTGATCCGCATCCGCCACTGCTGCCATATGACAGTTTTTAACCGTGGGCAGGGTATCCGCCAACTTGGTTATCTCGTGGAAATGAGTGGCGAACAAAGTGAAGCACTTCGTCTCCTTGGCCAGATGTTCAGCAATCGACCAGGCGATGCCGCAACCTTCGTATGTGGAAGTGCCGCGCCCAAGTTCATCTATGATTACCAAGGATTTGTCAGTGGCAGTCTGCAAAATGGAAATACTAGATGAACTAAGTACCTTTCGTTTGTCTTGAAGCGATACTCACCCTTATAATCCCAGAGGTTTCAATCATCTCTACCATAAATGTGCTCAGGCCCTTAATAATGTTGTCACTAGCTCCAACTCTCCCAAGAATGGAGTCCACCATGCTGATTGTGGCCAAGCTGCAGGGTACAAAAGCTCCGACATGAGCCATTAGCACAGCGGCACCCACAGAGCGAATGTAAGTGCTCTTTCCACCCATGTTGGGTCCCGTAATAATGAACATGTTGCACTTCTCTGAAAGAATATAAAACTTAAAGAAAACTATTGCAGGTTTTTTTCACCATACCTTTCTTAAAGTCAACGCTGTTAGCTATGAAGCTGACGTGCTCCTGCAGCTCCAAACAAGGATGACGCACATCCTGGAGGACCAATTCGCGTGCGCCTTCCTCGAGCATTTTGGGCCGCACATAGGGAGTGGGAGCACTGCGGGCGGCGATAGCGAAGCTCACCAAACAGTCGAGCTGGGCCAGCTCATTGTTAAGTGAAGTAAGTGGGGCCGCATATCCGACGGCCACCTGAATGATCTCCTCCACAATGGACAGTTGCTGTTCCTCGTAGCGAGTGCGGCAGCTGGCAAACTCATCGGAATAACCTTCCAGCTTGTCGGACGTAAAGCGAACACCGCCCTTGATCACATCCACGATGCGATAGTTCTTGTTCTTGCGCAGCACAGAATCATCCTTCAGAGTGATGCGGAAATGATGTCCCAATTTGGCAATAGTTTCCAGTTTCACCTGACTTTTGCCATCCAAATCCAAATCGCCGGTGCATTTGGCCAGCAACTTTTCCATTTTCGAATACAGCTCTGTCATCATCTGCTGCAGCTCCATTAGACGACTGTCAAACGATGCCTTTACCAGATACTCGCCCCTTTCGATGGCCTCAAAGTCAACCACCTGCTCGACCATTTCCTTGAGCCCGGTCAGATCCTCCAGGAAGCTTTTAAACGGCGCACAGATCACACTTTCAATCGTTGAATTACCGAGCTCAAGCAGAACCTTAAGAATTTTCGGGGTCCTTAGAATCACCTGGTAAATGCGGAACAGATCTTGCAAACTAGCTTTGCGTCGCATCAGCTTCTTGGTCAACATAAGAATATCCGGAATACGCTTCAGGTAATCGAGACTCAGGGTCTCCATTGTGTCCGGAGATTCGAGTAGGCACTGGACAATGTTATGACGATCATTGAGGATATCTCGGCTGCGCAGCGGCTGCTTGACCCACTGACCCATTAGGCGGTGTCCCTGCGGTGTACGGCAATGATCCAGCACGCCCATGATGCTTTGCCAGCGGTACGACGGCATGGAAGGATATGTGCCTGGCTTGGGCATAATATTTAACGCAGCCACGGCAGCAGAGTCCAAGTGCACAAAGCTATAATATAGCATTAAACATAATTAGTTTTTGCTTTTTATGAGAATAAGATAATACCGTCCTACCGCTTTAGGTCGAGTTGCTTGATCTCGTAGTGCCCAAGATTTCCGGCGTCATTGACCAGGTCCAGGTACTTGATAGCGGTCTTTAGGGCGTTGGAGGCCAGCTGAAGCTGGAGCTCCTTCAAGCCCGTGGCATCCTCCTGCTGCCCCTTGGCGAAACGTAACAGACGATTTAGATCCTGCAGCAGATCGTTGGCGCTGCTCTTCTTGGGCACCGTGACCATGACGCCATTTCTCTCGAGCAGCGTCTTAACGGCAGCATAGTCGCCCTCCAAGCTTGGCAGTAGGCACTCCTTCGGTCCGAGCAGCACCACGGTGGCCTCCAGTTCGGTAAAGAAGTCATCGTCAAGGAACTCAAGCAGCTGGAACTTGCAGTCGTTCTGCTCCACGCTGGCCACACCCACACGCCGCTGACCACCGCCCTCGAGCTTAACCAGCAGCGAGATAATGCTGTTGCCGATTAAAACCTCCTTGTTGGCAAACAGGATGTCCTCGAACTGCAGCAGATTGCCGGGTGATCCGCGGTACTCAATCTCCCAATCGCTGGACTTCTTAACGTACACCTCAACCCGGTAATTGCGCACCAAGAGCAGCTCGCGCACAGCCAGCTCGAAGTTGGCCTTGGACATGGACACGAACTGCAGAGTCTCCTTTTTGTCTTCAGGCAACAGGGCGCCTATGTACGCCGTGGATTTGTAGACGATTTTGGCCACCAATTCGCAGTCATCGTTGCCGTGCACCGTATAGCAATCGGAGTGGTCAAAAAACCGCACCGTAGTTCCGGGTTTCTGCAGAATTACGCCGTAGAATGCAGTTAAACCGGATTTGTGCACGTTGCTAGCATTATTTCACTTACCTCGCCGAGTTTCGCGTGAAATTTGATGAAATTGCGACGCGCATTTGTGTCTGCGAAAGGCCATTGATTATAGTAAGTAATAATTGATATTGCTGCTTATTCGCTCACCCATATGCAGGGTAGGTTCCTGTCTACTGTCGGTTGCCTTGGCCTGCATCTTTCTGCTTTTAAATTGGTTATTAAAATCACTGAATTTGGCGCCTGTTTCTGCATAAACAAAGTGTGACCGTTTTCGACGCCTGCAAATTTACCACCGTTCTGTGAACAGATACCAAATATACTAAAACCGAATCATACACTTAAGGAATTTTATTTAATTTTATCGATGCGATAAAAAAAAAATTTTAATATTTTATAATTCGATTGAATTTAATTATTTATAGTTTAATTCGTTTAATTTGATTAAAATTAAGTGTTTATAGTTTAATGTTTAATTCGATTGATATTAATTATTTAATCTGTTGAATTCGATTGAGATTAATTATTTATATGTTTAATTCGATTGATAAATTGCTGCCAACATTGTTTAAGTTATGCAAAGTTCTTAATCTTTATTATATATGTAGATATGTTATATGTTGTTATGAAAATATATGCATTTCGTTTTCCATCAAATCGTCGGTACTAAGTGCTGTGTTTTAGAATTGCAGCGACATTTAAATTCCTAAATATATTCGTAAGTTAAATCATAGTGGCAAAGCTAAATAGATACGTTTCGGCAATCAAAGTGGAATTTCGATAAGTCATCACAAAATCATTAAATATGCGGACATACCTTCTTCGTGCATATACTTATGGATATTTGCCAATTAATTGAAAGAAAACCTGTTTGCAAGGCCAGCATTGGCCATTAATCAAACTGCACCACCAACATTTTCTTTATATTTATTAAAAAAGTTCATGAGAAAATACTGGCTATTTAAACATAATACACTTTGCCCTAAACAGATATCAGTCTAATATTGCAATACGCCATCGGAGCAAATCGCTCACAGCGCCTTGTCCGAGTTCCTTGCTTCCTTGGCCCTGCCCTCCGCCTCCAGGGGCTTCTTGAGCTGCACCACGTCCCAGGCACCGCCCGCTCCATTGGCCTTGGAGCACAGATCCAGGCTGATGAGGGCGCCCGTTGTGGGAGCAGCTGCCCGGAGGCAGGTTCCCTTGGCCATGTTGTAGACGGGACTGTTCGAGTTGCGGGTGTGGCGCCACTGCTGATCGCCCAGCATCTCGTGGCACTTGTTCACCGTGACCTGCGCATCACCGGATGCCTCCAGGCACAGCAGCTTGTCCAGCACAATCTCCGCCTTCTCCGTTTCGTACCACAGCTGGTTGGGTGTCCTTCGGCAGGTTTGCAGCTGAAGGGAGCTGCCTTTCTTCCAGAAACCCTTCACCTTTGGAGCCACGACGGCGGCACAGAGTTCCGTGCCCGTCAGCCGCAGCTGGAATGTATCGACATAGTTGCGTTTACGCGAGTGCCACGGCTGGAACATGGGCGCTGCCGCCGACTTCTTGGACTCCTCCCCCGGCACATGCAGCTCTGGATAGACATTCTTTAGATACCAGGCGAAGTCCCTGCACTGCAATCGCTCCCTTAGCTTCAGGCGATCGCTAATGTCCCCGTAATCATAGCCCTTGGGCACCTTCTCGTGCTTCAGATAATAATCCTTGTACTGATCCATCCACACGTGCGCCAATCGCAGTGAGTTCTTTAACATGGTGTTGGCTCCATCTGGCGAAGTGTAGGGGCGGCGTTTGCGGAATATGTGACCCACACGGGAGCAGGGAACGATCTTGATGGCGCCACCGCACTGCCACGCTCTGAAGGATATCTCTATATTTTCACCGCCCCATATGTCCATGGCCATGTCGTACTCGCCCAGGTGCTGGAAGTACTTCCTGTTCACCGCAAACAGTCCGCCGGCCATGGTGGGCGAACGGAAGGGACCGCGAAAGTCCTCCGGCACCTTGAGCGTGCCCTCGGGCAGATTCTCCCAGCGAAAGTGCAGGCCCCAGTTGAATCCACCGCGCACCAGTGGACTGGGCGTGTACTCAAAGGTGTCGGCGTTGATCAGGTCGATGACGGGCACGGCCAGAGTGGCATTCTCCGACTGGATGAGGCGCAGCAGCGGCTCCAGCCACTGCTGGTTGACCTCGATGTGCGAGTCCAGGAAGACAAGCACATCGCCCACGGCCTCGCGTGCCCCAATAACCCGTGATCGAATGAGGCCCTCGCGCTGCTCGTTCTTGATGTACCGCAGGTTGTCGTACTTCAGGCGGGCGCGTAGATCCCCGTGTAGATGAAACTCCAGTTCCGGCAGATCGCTGTGATCATCCACCAGAATAATCTCGCGTAGTAGGTAGCTGGGCGTGCGTTCCAGCACCGTCTTAATCGACCGCATCAGCGTCATTTTGTGCTCGTTGTAGAAGCACATGACTATGGAAGCCTGGGGTAGTTTTTCCGCCTCCGAGGTCTCCTGGCGATCGCACACCTTGTGCCGAGTGTCAGGGATCTCCCGGAAAAGCCCTATGTTGTTGGACACCAAAGCGTTGAAGGCGTGATGCTTGTAGCCAATGTCCCGGATATACTTGTCCTGCTTGTTGCGCACCACACCCAACAGCTCCAGTTGCTCCGGATCGCTGGGCGGCTTCGGTGCCGCAGGCGAATCCCCAAGCGTAGACGAGTTCTTGCTGGCATTTGGAGTGCAACCGACGGTGACCCTGGCCTGGTAGCTCAGTTCCGCCCGCGGCGTAGCGTTCCCCTCGTCGATCCTCCATCCTGCCGAGCGGATGGAGCTGCGCAGGCTGTGGGAGTAGAAGAGGAGCGCCAGCAGCCAGACGACAGCGACCAGAAGGGTGCCCAGGCCGCAGGACTTGCACAGGAGCCGCTTGATTTGCATCATGGATCGAGATTCGCGTACGTTGCGCGTTTGACTGGCTCTTTAAGCAGCTACTTCGTCACTTTCATGATGATCGGAATAAATTAAATTCAATTTGCATACCACGGCATTCGCACAAAAGCGCAGACACAGCGAAGCCACCAGTGGTGCCTTTCCCGACTTTTTCCCGCCAAATTTGGCGGGAACTGCGAAGAGCGACAAGTGCTAAACGAATTAAATTACTTAATTAAGTCAACGAACAAAGGAATAGTATACGAAAATATGTTCCTTATCTTCAAAGCTTATTTGTCCGTAGTCAGAATCAGCTGATTTTCTACCGAAACTTGGCAGCACTAAATGAAACAAGTGTTATGCGCAAGTCCAAATTGTAGGTATTCCACAAAATCAAATAAAATAGTATAACAACAAATGTTAACAAAATATATAAGTTAATAAAAAACAAACTTTGTACTTTACTTGAAAATCTATTAAATGAGTAAAATATAATATTCTCCATTAATTAGGGACAGACGATCATATATCGCAAAGTAATATCATATTAAGCAAATAAATTGCAAACATATTTGTATTCAAACACATAACAGGCACCATTAAGAATGAAAAATTGAAATTATTTGAAAGAAATTCATTTCTATTGGTAGGGGTTTTATAAATACCATTTTATTTATTTCCTATTGCATTATGCCATTAATACATCGTAAATATTCATATAACATTGATCGTTTTATCCCATTCTTGCACGCGACAACAACAAATAGTCAACAAAAAATTAGGGAGATACAAAAATTCATATATATACAGGGATGCAGCCAACAAAAACATGGTTTATCGAACGAATTCGTCTAAATATTGAGACCGAAGGGATGTTAAATTGTGAGATAAACATTTCGAAATTTCATAGTCAAAACTTTAGTTCGCGCGAACCAACAAACATGTTTAATTTTCTAATATTTATGCTTAATCGATGCAATAAATGTTGAAGGTTTTGCGTCTTATTATCGGAAAGGACTTTATATATTTATTTTCTGTGGTTGCTGTCGCTGTTGTTGGCTCACACATTAATGCCTAATCGAGTTATTTAACTACATACATTGGTTTTTGCTTGGGCATCGGTAGATTACGAGTCGGCTAAAAATAAAACTTGATTTGTATAACTAGGGTGGCGTAAAGTTAAGTTGCATTCATTTAGCACGAGCACTGATCCTTGGCGCCCGTAGCCTCGCTACTCAGCGAAGTTCGCGACGGCTGCGATGGCCTGTGCTGAACTCCGGATTCGGAGGCGTTCAGGTCGAGCCTTCCCTCCTGGATGTTCTGGTAAATCTTGCGAGCGGTCTCCAGAAAAGCCTCCTCCACATTCTGGCCACTGTTTTGGGGGGAAACAAATAATTAGTGTGCTTCTCAATTAGATATTTGATATGTGATAACTAAAAACTTCTGTGATATGAAAAATTGAATAGAAAAATAGTATATACAAAATTAAAGCCCCTTGACGAATTCTTGCAGTCTGCAGGAGAACAGTAAGAATATCTATGAGAATTTTGTGCAAACACTGCGAACCAACTTAATTTCCAGGTGAAACTCACGTCATAGCACTCGCTTCGAGAAACATGAGGCCGTTCTCGTCGGCAAACTCCTTGGCCTCCTCGTAGGTAACCTCCCGAGTGCTCTCCAGATCCGACTTGTTGCCAATCAGAAAGATCACAGTGCTGGGATTGGTGAGATTGCGAGTGTCAGTGAGCCAGCTGCTCAGGTGATTGTAAGTGGACCTGATGAAATGGTCAAGTGTTTGTCAGGATTAAAGGCTATTCACAAATAGCCGTTTTCAACGCGTACCTTCTGGTAATATCGTAGACCATCAGCGCTCCAGCTGCTCCACGGTAATAGGAGCGAGTGACTGCCCTGAATCGCTCCTGACCCGCTGTGTCCCAGATCTGTAGCTTGATCTTTTTGTCGTCCACCTCAATGATACGTGTGCCGAACTCGACGCCAATGGTGTGAGGACAATTCGCCATGACTGCATTAAGGAAACCAGAGTTTAGTTCTGGTCACATACATTACTCTGCTGTCTACTCACATTTCTTCTCGGTGAATTGGTGGAGCAGGCAGGACTTGCCCACGCCCATGTCACCAATGATGATGTATTTGAAGATGTAGTTGTAGTTGTACGGCGCTGCAGTCATGTTGGGACCTAAAAGGCAGTCGACAGTATTAGTATTAGTCTGCAGATTTAGTGAGGATATGGACTATTTCACACATTTCTCTATAAAGTAGTCTATGCGTTCGTGCAGTTTGTTCACCACACTGCGCACTTTGCTCATCTTGACATCGGCTGGACTGAACTCTGACCCAATCAAGCAGGTTACACCAACTATCACTGTGTCAGGTGCTCATTTGAATGTCCAATCGTAGGCGCTGCCTATCAACAAACCGAGGCGCTGCATTAATTTGTTCTGCGTCGGCACCACATTTTGTTCCCCTTTCTCGAACTGGCCCCGATATTTCTTTTTAAGGCATGCTTGTGTTTGAACAGCCGACCGGGTTTGTTTACTTGCCAACTGAAGCCCAAATACAAAAAAGAGGCAAGCTTCAAAAGTGGCGGGTTAAAACACTCCAAGCCACTCGAGTTTGTCATTTCTGAGTATCCGTGTCGTTCGAGAGCCTTTGATTTTCCCGCACATAAGGAGATCTTAAAAGAGTGAACCGAACCCTTCGCCCAAGTTGAAAGGGATTAGGATCAAGGTCGTCAAGCAATCGTGGGAATACAATTGTTGAGAGCGGTACGAGCAAAGTTATTTATTGGACAATACCTAGTGGATGGTTTCACAAATTACCTTGTTAAAGAGAATTATCCTACCCTACTTAATATGAATGAATTTAATACTCAGCACTACTCGGGAATCAGCAGCATATGTTGTAAAAAGATGAGTATCAATATCGATGCTAAATTCTCCATACATAAGTCTTGAAATGAAGCAATTAGTATTCAAGTTACAATCGCTTATCATTGATTGTCAAAGTGGCAAGTATATATCAATGTTATAGACTCTATGGCGGCCGGCTTAGATTAGCTGAGTAATAGCTCTTGGTCTCGAGTCTTATCAGTCAACTGGCAAAGGCCAAACATCAGTGGAGCAATCAATGGGGGCGAAATCCTCACGCTTGCACATGTTTATGTAGTTATGTATTTAAAAATTGTGTTGAATGGAGGTTCATTATCTACCACTCCTCAAAAAATACATGAAAAACATGAAAGGAGTATACAAAATATATATCCGTACACAGCCGAAGTGTGTATACTCTATGGCAGAAATGATCGGTTAGTTTAAGTAAGTTATGATTCTTCTAAAATTTGTATTGGAAAAATTCTCTTATAAATGTGAGCATGATTTTCCATTTCTGTGATAGTAGTGAATAAGATTTGAATTGAAGCACAAAAAGCTAAGACTCCATGCAAAGCATTATAATAAAACTGCATTAAAAACAACAACGCAATAAGGCGCAACACAAGTATGAGAACTATAAAAATAACAAATTAAACTCTAATGTTGAAATTCATATTGTTAGGAACTTTAAAGTAATCCCTATTTATGTAAACACATATCAAAAACGAATAAATTAAAAACGAATTTGAATAAACCAGTATTATAATAATCAAAACAACAATACGAATAAATAGCGAAATCTTAATCAATTTACAGTTGCCCATCTTTAATCACAAAGGAGGTCGTTTTCGCCCCATCATGGCCAGGAAATTAAAAAAAAATGCATAAGCATAACTTAAACCATTCCTTAATGAAAGTAGAGCTTTTTTTTTTTTAAGATTTTTGTAAGTCAATTATTTTGTTGTTAACTTGGTCGCAAAAAAGTGCCTACCCATTGCAGGGTATCAAAGCAATCAGGGGGTGTATACAACAACAATGGAGTGCTACTGCCTAACGACAAAAACAGGAGAGAGTGAGAGCACAAGGGAAAGTTGGTGAGGAGCACCCACAGCTGCACTGCGTCACCCCTTCGCAGACGGTTTCCATTTCGCATAATTTAATCAGTCTTTAATTGGCTTAAGGAAAAACAAGGAATATTACTCACCGTTTTAGATCACTTCAGTTTTAGTTCAACTTAGGGAGCGAACCGAATGTGGAATGTAGGGCGGTTACGAAGAGCGAGGGGGCTGTGTGTATGTGTGCGTATTGTTGTTTGGCTGGGCGGAATTCGATTGCACTTTTTTGGCAATTTGGCGACACAAAATGCAGCTCACTTTCGTGCTAGCACGCACACTGGCTTCGCGGGGTTGCGGGGGGCTCCACCGAAGGGCTATTATTGCAATTATTTTCAATTGGTTGGTCGATGCAAATCAGTAGACTTTTTTCGCTGCTTTTGCGTTCTCTTGTTTTGCTTGGTTTCCTGTGGTCACACTGGGAAATTAGCAAGCAAAGGGTCACACTGCGGCGATTGGTGCTTATCGCGCCCAAAAGCTATCGACAATCGTGTCTATCGATAGAGGGCGCACGTGTTGCGGACTTCGTTTGTTTATGTTTTAATTTAGCGCACAAATTGGCCCTCAAGATGTTTGTAAACGAAGTTAACGATGTGAAGATCTACAACCTGAGTGCCGGCAAGTCGGTGCCAGATGTAAGTACCATGATAATCCCAGTGTCAAGCAGTTAACTCATGCGTATCCCCTTCACAGTGGCTGACGGATCGGCGAAAGCGGTCACAGCTGATGAAAAAGGTGGACTCGCGGAGACAGATCGAGCTCATCCAGGACTTTGACATGCCCGGCGTCTGCACCAGCATCCGCATGAGTCCCGACCAGCAGTACATCCTAGCCACTGGCACGTACAAGCCGCGAGTCAAGTGCTTCGAGGTGTCCAATCTGTCCATCAAGTTCGAGCGCTGCTTCGACGCCGAGGTGACCACCTTCGAGGTGATTAGCGACGACTACAGTAAGATGGTGTTCCTGCAGTGTGATCGCTATGTGGAGATCCATGCGGCGCACGGGCGGCACTACAGACTGAGAATTCCGCGCTTTGGACGGGACATGAAGTACCACAAGCCCAGCTGCGACATGTTCATCGTGGGCGTGGGCAGGGTAAGAACTGAAGTCTACCTAAACCTATTTCATACTAAAGACTTAATTGGTAGGACATTTACCGACTCAATTTGGAGCGTGGCCAGTTCCTGCAACCCCTTGAAACGGATGGCAGCTGCTTGAACGCCTGCGATGTGAATCCTGAGCACCATCTTTTAGTAGCCGGTACCAAAGAGGGTACCGTAGAAGCCTGGGACCCCCGTACCAAGCAACGATGTTCAACTTTGGATGTAGCTATGAAGTTGCCGGGCGTCAAGGAGTTTCCATCAGTCACGGCCCTCAAATTCCGGAATGGCTTGCACATGGGCGTGGGAACTGCTTCGGGGCACGTGCTGATCTACGACATCCGCGCCAAGCAACCGCTGCTGGTCAAGAATCATCTAAATCGATTGCCCATCAAGCGACTGGCCTTTAATCCAGCCCAGAATGCCGTCTATAGCTTGGACGAGGCTACCCTGAAGCTGTGGGACGAGCAGACAGGCAAGCAGATCGCCTACGTTGAGTCGACCTCGTCGTTCAACGATTTTTGCACTATTCCCGACACGGGCATGTTCTTCGTAGCCCAGGAGGATGTGAAGATGATGACCTATTACGTGCCTGCCATGGGTCCAGCACCTCGATGGTGCTCGTTTCTGGATAACCTCACCGAGGAGATCGAGTCGGAGGTTGTGGAGAATGTGTACGACGATTACCAGTTCGTCACAGCCAAGGAACTCGCTGAATTGGGAATGGAGCATCTCGTTGGCAGCAATCTGCTTAAGGGTTATATGCACGGGTAAGTTAAATGCGGATTTCAAGATGTTACAATTTGTCTAATACCTATAAATTCCATAGATACTTCATGGACGCAAGATTGTACAACAAAGCCAAGGCAGTTGTGGAACCCTTCGCCTTTGACCGCTTCCGCAAGGACAAGATCCGGAAAGAAATCGAGAGTGAGCGCAAGTCCCGCCTGCAAATCGAATCGAAGCTGCCCAAGGTCAACAAAGAGTTGGCACTCAAGATTATGGACGAGCAAGCCAATCCCTCCAACAGTGCCAAACAGCGAAATGTGCCCAATCTGCTTGAGGACTCGCGTTTCAAGGCCATGTTCGAAAATGCCGACTTTGAAGTTAACAAGTCTGCCGAGGAGTATCGTCTGCTGGCTCCTGTTCTGAACCGACTGGATAAATCCAAGGCCAAGGAACTCAAGAAGCGCGTGGAGGTGGCTCATGTGGCTGAGTTGCATGCCGACGAGGCTCAGCAGCGCGAGGAAAGCGATAATGACGAGGACCTGTTTGGCTTTGAGGAGAGCGATGGAGAAACGAAGGATGACAGCGGGGATGAGGCCTCATCTGACGATGACGACCGAAGGGAGTATGTCAAGGAAATGAAGCAGGCGTACAAGCAGGTGAAGCGTCAACGCGAGGAAGAGGAGGAGCTAGAAGACGAAGATGACGAGCAGCAGAATGATGAAATTTCGGACACCGCGAAAAGACCCCAGACGAATGGACACACTCATAAACCCACCACCAATGGCAACCGCTTCACTATGACCCCCTTGGATCAACATCAAGGCAGTAGTTTCCTGCAGCAGCGCATCAAAAAAGCCAGCCTGCAGGATCGCGTACAAGTCATGTCTCAGCTGGAGGGGCAGGTAACCAATGTGGGTCGCTCCCTAGGCAATCGACAGATGACATTCGAAGTGAACAAGCAGAAGAAATCACAGTTCCATGCCAAGAAGCGCGAGGCGGAGATGAAAAAGCATCGCGAGGAGCGAAGGAGCATTGTCAGACCCATCAAGTCGCTGAGACTAAAGAAAGTTAATTTTAAGTAGAAGAAAAATCGCAATTAGTTTTGTACATAAATTCATATGTTAAATTAATCTCCATTTATTTGAACAATGGTGGCGTAAATGCGGCTCATCAATGGACACATTGCATTGCTCTAAGGACCTAGGGATCTATTTCCACATCCGAACACGTTGCTGTCGAGACTTCACTGACATCACTGACGTCGCTTTCCCCGTTATCGTACTCGCCCTTGATCGATAGGGTTTCATCAGCTTCAAGAATACATTTTTTAAGGACAAATGCTGATTCCCATTACTAAATATTACCATTAATTATCCCTGCCGTGCGCAAGTTATCTACCAAGTGGAGTAGCGCTTTTGTCACTGGACCCGTCACAGGCTGGGGCATCTTATCAAAGTACAATCCAAAGAACAACTTCGAGTTAACCAGCTCCATATGCTGCTCATGGATTCCCGTCTGAGTGCAGGCCAACAATGCCGATTGCTCTGCACCCATATTTTTGACTCAAATGTTAGCGACCCGGAATTAAAATGACAGGCGGATTTGGCCTCCTTAGGTTGGTTACATTCAAAAGTGTTCACATTTTGGAAAAAAGGGGGATAACACTTGATAGGTAATAAAAACTATAATATTTAGCTTGAGTAAAGAGTACTTCAAAATGCAGTCCGCCAAATACAGACAAAAAATTCGAGAAATGAGAAAAGAAATGGAGATAAGGATAATCCAATATATTGATGAACCTAAAAACTAATACAGATAATAAAATACTATTTATGTATGTATCTGAACGGGAAAGCATGTAATTAATGATCTCGCTCCGAGACCAAATGCCAAAACGGCCAATTAGTGCGTTATTAGCAGAGAAGGCACATGCATTCAGATGGAGATACAAATGTATCTACAAGTGCAGCACGATCGAGTTATGTTGCTCAAGTAAATGTAACGATAGATCTCGAAAAAAATGAAACGCATGCCGCGAGCACACAAAGAAATCGAATTTCTAATCAAGTTGTAAGGTATTATCGCGATCACAAGGATCAAAGGCTCCATAAGACTCTTTTCATAGCATACTTTTCAACGCATTCCTTTGCGTTAGACTCCCTTCCGGGATCCGCAAGTGTCTTCAAGGCATCTGAAGAGAGTACGTCCCAGGAGCCACTCCACACCACAGTTTCGATAGCTGATCCAATGTGGATTTGAGCGAGCAGGCCGACGACGATGATAGCATTGAAATAAATGCGATCGAGTAGAGGTGCTTATGTACATAGCTCCGTTTACACGTGTAAAATGCCATGTAGAGGTATTTATTCCTGCAGTGCTAGTTGAAATGTAAAGTAGATAGATACTGCACAAAGTGAATTTAAATTATTTAAACCTATACGATTATCCAAACGTTTATGTAGAAAATAATTATACAAAATTGTGTCGTAAATAAACTAGTTACTGTTTTATTTATTATTAATTTACTATTCACTATTCCATGGAATAAGTTTTATCAATACGCAATGCTACAATCGTGCTCAACGCGGCAAGAACAGAAATTTTAATTAAGCAAATACCGCTGCGATCAGCGGAATACGAAGCTCGGCGACAACGGGGAGACCTTCTCTAATCAAGTCGACGATAAAGACGATACCACTGAATGGCCAGCACAAATACAACTGGAGTCAGTTGGTCAAGCGCGGGGGTGCGATGGGTTATCCAATACGGCAGATCGGATGGAGGTTCGGGAGCGGGGGTCGCGGGGCAGGCACGGCGGATATAGAGCACTAATTAGAAAACAGTGAGGCAAATTGTTGGTGCACGACATTGAAAGCGTACTCACATGTGCCTTATTGTCATTGCCGATCTCTTTTGGTGAGTTCGTTAAATATTTCAATTACGCTAACACTCAGCTGATTTTAAGTAGTTACTAGCAAAAATAACAACGATTTTTAGCTGAATTTAAAGAATTCCTATAATTATAATCTTTTAAAATATATTACAAAAGACAGTGTAAACAAGAAATGTATATTATGAATACTTTTTTTATGAAATACACCATAAATCCGAAATATTTATTATGAATTCTTATTACTTGCGCTTTAGCTGAAAGCTTACATTCTTGTAAAAGGAAACGAAGAGTAATACTTATATGCGTTCTTCCGTAAGAGTATTCAATCTTCGGTGAATTGCATAAGCCATTTCCGCTCAGTTGAAGTCTATTTGGGCAATATTTGCTCACGTTCAGTTGTTTTCCCCCAAGCGAAGTGCGCGGTTGTGTTTCAGCTTAGGTTTTGGTACTGCTCCACAATTTATAGATCTCACAGATCTGTGGATTGAATTTGCGAAGATCGCCTGCACCATGGGCAACACCCAAGCCCGTCCGATTGAGAACCGCCAGGTGCCGAATCGGAGGAGCAGTGAGTGCCGAAAGCACGCTTTCTGACATCATAATGGCCCATTTTGTAACCGCTTCGTAGGCATTTTGTGGAACTTTCGGTACTCGAACACAGTGCGTCGTCGCGAAGATTTGGCCGTGATGGTGCACAACTCCCGGATGAGCATAAGCGAGTGGCTGGATCTTCTGGAGCTGCAGCAGTACGAAGGTTTGCATGATCAGCAGTTTCCAATCGCTACTGTATTTTATGCTTACCAGGAAACCTGCAGGAGTTCAGCATCGTGGACGACGTGGTGGACATCACCGACAAGGAGCTGAAGCAATGTGGCGTGCGCGGTGCCCATCGCCAGCGGATGGTCAACAGTTTGCTGGGTGTTCGTGCCAAGCGAAGGCAGTCCATGAATCTGGAAGGTAAGCCTGTGGATAAGTAAAACGTAGTTCCCCCCAATGAGATATCTCTCTTGTTTAGCAATGAGCAGTGCTCCGCGACAAGTTCCGCGGCGCAAGAACTCCTGTCCATTGGTTTATCTGGGCGAGAATCCCCAGGATATGGCGGGAAGCGGCGATAGCGGTCCCGGCGTGATTACCACCAAGAGCGGCAAGGTTCTGAAGCAACTAGCCTTCGATGAAAGTTCCACCATGTAAGTTAATTTTATAATTCTTTAAATTTCTTTAAATTTCAAAGCAATTATGCATATTTCAATTCCGGTTTGTTGGAATTTTCACTTCAAACGCATTTGATTGTATTTTTTTTAAACTGAAGTATCCAACATCATCCACAACATCCACAAGACTTCTTTTTTACCCTCAATGGAGAACCATAACATGGACTCTGCGCATGCTCCGCGAATTTCCCAAAAAGCGACTTCGAGCGTCCTTAGAGTTTTCCAACAAAACCCAAAACAAACTGCGCGGAGTAGCGTGGTGCACAGAAATCGGTGTGTCCAACCCCCAAAAGTGCACCGCACTCGTCGAGTCCTTTGCCGTGAACTTTTCAGAGCAGATTCGAGCGGCAGGGAGTTCAGACTACTACAATACGAAGGACCTTAAACTGCACTCCTTTTTTCGAGACTAGTTTTGTGCTACAGATATCTAGTTTATCCCAAATGGAAAGTTTTTTATAGAAATCGTAATTATCGGGCAGCTGGAGTTACGGGTTTTGTCGTACCACTAAGCAATCAGGTTAGGGTGTGTCCTGTCCCAAATTTTCTACTGCAAAATGGGCGTAGCAGGTGAGTGATAACAGCGGCGCATCCTTAAACTTCGATTCCTTAGAAACCAAAACATTTAGATGGTATGTGAGTTTAATGAAGTTCCTTCGACTGCTTTAGCAGAATTCATTAAGGCAAAACAGTAGATCTGCAAGTTGATTTCTACTTTTTTGCACTTGAACTTCACACATATAGTGAGTTGTCCATATATACCAAGGACCAAATCCTGTGGGAGCAAATTTCCCCAAAGCCGCCTGTGGGAGGAATGGCCTTTGTAACCATCAAATTACCCAAAATAAGGGAAATTAACTCTCTCATTCGTCTCGCCGCTCACAGCTACGAGGAACTGAGGCCGCGTTCCAAGTGCAACAGTCCCCATTGGGCCATCGAAGACAGCAGGATGGAGGGCTATGGGAGCAGCAATGCCACCATTCCGCTGGCCACCGCCCAGCCCAGTCCCAGCGAGCAACAGGAGGCCATCGCCCTGAAGAAGGCGCTCGAATGGGAGCTGAGCCTGGACGCCCGCGAGCTGCGCTCCCACGCCTGGTACCACGGAGCCCTGCCCCGCCAGCGGGCCGAGGAGATCGTGCAGCGGGAGGGCGACTTCCTGGTCCGCGACTGCGTCTCCCAGCCGGACAACTATGTGCTCAGCTGCCGGAGCAAAGCGGCCGTACTGCATTTCGTACTTAACAAGGTGGGTTCGGCACGGTTTTCGGCATCGGAGAACCCGTTTACATTGCCTAATGGGCTTGTACATTTCAGTTGGTGCTACAACCGGAAACGGTTTACGAACGCGTGCAGTACCAGTTCGAGGAGGATGCCTTCGATACGGTGCCCGACCTAATAACCTTTTACGTGGGTTCCGGCAAGCCCATCTCGTCGGCCTCGGGAGCGCTCATTCAGTATCCCTGCAACCGCACCTATCCACTCTCCTTCTACGGCCACAAGATCGTGGGCAACCAGCTGCACACGCAGATGCTGGCCGGTCTCCGAGGTCTGAGTCCTCTGAACTCGCCGATGGGCAGCAATGGGGGAGTGGCAGTGGGAGCAGGTGTGGCCGGTACCTTCCGCTTCGATCCGCAGCAGCAGCAACAGCTCTCCCCAATGGCTGGCTCGCCGGCCAGTCCGCACTGCTCGCCACCGAGGGCACGTAGAGAGGTTCCTCCACCGCCGCGGCTGCCCTGCAAGAAGCAACAGCGTTCCCAGAGCCTGACACCGGCCCAGGCCATGTTGGTCAGCAACATCAACAAGCTTCAGGAGCAGCAGCTGCACATGCAGGAGCTCGAGAACGGCAATGCAAACGGAGTAACGCGCTTCCAGACGATCGCCAGGTGCAATCCGACCAGTGAGCAGCATCTGGAGAGCAAGTTCACCACCCACTCGCTGCCCAGGCCCAACACAACTGCGGCGCAGGCCCTGCGCCAGCATGCGGTGGCCCGAATCTCGAGCCTGGCGAGGAACTGCAGCCTGGACTCGCCGTCGGACTCGCGGCCGCCCAGTCCGCCGCCCAAGCCGCGCAAGGAGCCCATGGCAGCGGTGCTGGCATACCAGGCCAGTGGATCCGACTCGGGGAACGGTTCCGGCGATTCCGCTCTGGGGGATGCATGTGAGGCGAGCGTGCAACGCGGTGTGATAATCAAGAATCCCCGATTCATGACCACCTCTGTGTCCAACGGCACGCTGAAGAGCTTCACAGAGTTCGACGTCCTGGCCGCCGAGGAAGAACTCTTCACCATGGCCATAGAAGAAGTTAAAACCGTAAGTTGCCTTCAAAATTTGAATCTCAATCAATAATTACCTATTGTGTTCATAGGCAAGCAAGTTTGACTTTGAAAACTTTGTCACTTTGCTACTGCCATCTGTGGAGAATAAGCCACTGGACGGCGATGCCCTCAACACCTTCAAGATGATGCTCCTGGAGACGGGCCCGAAGCTGCTGGCGGAGCACATAACCCGCATCGACATTGCCCTGTTCTTGGAGGAGCCTTCAAACGAGGAGGACTACTATCTCAGCTGCTCGGGTCTTGAACTGCTAACACTGCCCCATGGAAAGGTCTTTAGGGAGGACATTATAGAGCGGACGCAGTGCATCAAATTGATGGTGGCCGTGACCATACTCACCTGTCAAACGGATCTGGACCGGGCTCAGCTGCTCAGTAAATGGATTCAGATCGCCGTGGAAACCAAGACGGCCCTGGGAAATCTGTTTGGATTCTGCGCCATCATGTTGGGCCTATGCATGCAACAGGTGAATACTAGTTTCGAGCAGTGCACACAAAAACAAGATACTTTTTGTTAGTTGGCCGCTAAGTGGCATACATTAGGTCATCACAGTTTATTGCTTAGCAAACAGGCAATGATTTAAAAGCACTTTTTATTTTGGCATTTGAACTGTATGGTTTTTACGAAACGGGCTTTCGCAACTTGTTTGTGATCCATCGTAACCGCTTCTCTAGTTCGTCTACTGAAGTGCTTAGCTCATCACCTCTTCCAGATCCAAAAGCTCGACCAGGCCTGGCACATCCTGAGGCAACAGTATACGGACAGCGCCTTCACCTTCGAGGCCAAGCTGCGACCCACGTTGAGCATCATGAACGAGGCCTCCAATCCGCAGGCACCCAACACAACCGTTCCCCATGTTCTGCTGTATGCGCTACTAATCGATCGCCCCGTCATGGACATCATAAACCACTCGAACATCGACGATCGCCCGGCTCTGTACCACACCTGTATTGCTCCTTGGGAATCGAAGGCGGACGACTTTGGCATGACCATTAACTTCCAGCATCTGGATGCTTCGCGCGGCTTCCTTAAGAACTTGGAATTGTATCGGAAGAATGCCAAGATCATTCTGGAGGACGCCAGCCCGCGGCTTGATGAGCTTCTAGCCGATGCCTTTCGGTAATATTGCATAATCCACTTTCCTCGAGTTTCAGTCAAGTCAGTTTTATCCTTGCAGAACCGAGTTCCACGTGAAGTTCCTATGGGGCAGTTCCGGAGCAACTGCAAAGGCCGAAGATCGCCACAACAAGCTGGAAAAGGTGCTGACCCTGATGGCCGACAAGTTCTGCATGATGGCCGAGCAGTAGTTATCTGTGAATTTAATATGGACTCCAGCTTCTGGCCGATATCACCAAAACTAACTTAGAGCGAACCTATGCCAGAACCTCCTATTTACTATCCACAATGTCTCCAGACCCTCCGCAACTTTAAATTTCGTGCTGTCTCTACCTCAGCCTGAGTATATATCATTTCAGCAGAAACACAAAGCACTTTATGTTACAGTTCAAATACCGATTAATCCTTAGTTAAGTTAAATTTAGAGCTATATGCGTACTGAAAACGATGGGGCAAGGGCGCCCAACTAGTTATCATATTTTTATGGAAAACTCTTTAAGAGCAAACTCACTCTGACGTACTACCAAAGTTTTGTATTTACTACCAATTACCTACCCATTATTTATTCTATGCTAACTTACTCTACTATAGAAGAGACAATATACATTAATCAAAACAACATAAGCAAACATACTCTCACAAAATGATATAGACATAACACTATAAATGCATAATTTTTGCAATTTTGTATATGTATGATAATAATAAATGATAATAATAAAGAAAGTACTTAAACACAAATAAATAGTTTCTATAATCTTTTTAAAGTTTCCCGACCCCTTGTTTACAGTGCTGACCGACTTTATCACGCATTAAATAAAAGTATTAGACACTTACGTTTATTTTGAAGATTGATATTCTATATTATGTACTTGTGAAATGTGCAGCACTTCTGGGGACCGTAAATGGCTTATACACAAACCAATGTCAACCAATCTTGGCCTAATTAATCCAATCAGCAAACACGTCGATTAACATTACGGCACTCTGAAGTACTTTCAAACTGGAAAACCACTTGTGCGGATGGAAAATATCTCAACGACGAATTCGAAATGAATACCGATTAGCCGGCGAAATGTGCAGCTCTATCAGCCACTCCAGCGGCGACCAACACGCCTTATCGGGCCTCCAGGAAAGGCGCGTCCAAAGTTCCCGCTAGCCATCCAAACCCAAACTCAAGCCCATTACCCTGACATTGTGCTCCGGTCGGCACTGGCGATCGGTTGTGAGTTCTTGTTCACCCAGCCGAGTGGAGCGAGCTTTCAAGCTTTTCCTAGCGCTACACTTGCACACTACAAATCTTCAAAGTCGAGTCTTCAATATGAACGGGTGTCGCTACAATGGAAAGCTGACGATAGCCATAAGTGGGTGTCTGATAATTGCAGTGATGGCCCTCACGGTTGGGCTTTGTGTGGGACTGGGCGGTGGCACCGAAGCCCTCGAGGTGAGTCGCAGTTGCCCAACCAAATGGTTTCTCCCGTGGCTCACTTAATCTTCACAGGACCAGCCCAGATTCACGATCGACCATGCGGCCAACACCTTCATGCTGGATGGCCAGCCCTTCCGATATGTCTCCGGATCGTTCCACTACTTCCGCGCTGTGCCCGAGTCCTGGCGAAGTCGCTTGCGCACCATGCGTGCATCTGGCCTTAATGCTCTGGATACGTAAGCAAGCTTGCACTCGTTAAAGCTCGTCAAAAGTGGGCCGGCCTGGCCAAACTGGTCAAGTGGGCCATATATCGAACGTGGTGCTTTTTTCCTTATACGTATTATCTTTCGGTGATACTTTTGGCTCGAACTTGTGAACTCAACACAGCACTCATAAAGTAGAGAAAACGATTTACTAACTCGAGATTACTTTTCCCAGCTATGTGGAATGGTCGCTCCACAATCCCCACGATGGAGAATACAACTGGGAGGGCATTGCGGATGTGGTGAAGTTCCTGGAGATTGCCCAGCAAGAAGACTTCTACATCATTCTCCGGCCGGGGCCCTACATTTGTGCTGAGCGAGACAATGTAAGTAATATATATTATAATACTTTCTCTTTTACATACGTTTTTGGCTCAAGCTGGGTATCATCCCAAATTAGTATTACTATTCAGAGTTTTGACCAGTATTACCCCTTTTCAGGGTGGTCTTCCTCACTGGCTGTTTGCCAAATACCCGTCCATCAAGATGCGGACCAACGATCCCAACTACATCGCAGAGGTGGGCAAGTGGTATGCGGAGCTAATGCCACGCCTCCAGCACCTGTTCGTGGGCAACGGCGGCAAGATCATAATGGTCCAGGTGGAGAACGAGTACGGGGACTATGCCTGCGATCACGACTACCTCAACTGGCTGCGGGACGAGACGGAGAAGTATGTGACCGGCAAGGCGCTGCTCTTCACGGTGGACATACCCAACGAGAAGATGAGCTGTGGAAAAATCGAGAATGTGTTCGCCACCACTGACTTCGGCATCGATCGCAGTGAGTACATTGAATACCCGTTCTGAAAACATGATGTAAACACCAAACCCGCATGGCAGTCAATGAGATTGACCAGATCTGGGCAATGCTGCGTACCCTGCAGCCCACTGGTCCATTGGTTAACTCGGAGTTCTACCCCGGCTGGCTTACCCATTGGCAGGAGCAGAACCAAAGGCGTGATGGCCAGGAGGTGGCCAATGCGTTAAGGTAACATAAGTTGAGAATAAGGTTACTTCGAAACCGGTTTCGGCCTGATTTCGGTTCTACCTGAAATTGTGAAATTCGAAGAGATTATCTTGTAAACTATACATAGATAAGATTTTTCTTACAATGATTTATGAGCATTTGACAATTCCAGGACAATTCTGAGCTACAACGCCAGCGTTAACCTGTATATGTTCTTCGGCGGCACAAACTTCGGGTTCACTGCTGGTGCCAACTACAATCTGGACGGAGGCATCGGATATGCGGCAGACATTACCAGTTACGACTACGATGCGGTGATGGACGAGGCCGGTGGCGTCACCACGAAGTACAACCTTGTCAAGGCTGTGATTGGAGAGTTCCTGCCGCTGCCGGATATCACCTTGAATCCCGCTAAGCGACTGGCCTACGGAAGGGTGGAACTCACACCCAAGTTGGCACTGCTCTCGACGGAAGGACGTGCGGCACTCTCCAAGGGTAATCCCGTCGAATCGATCAAGCCCAAGACCTTTGAGGAACTAGATTTGTACTCGGGCCTCGTCCTGTACGAGACGGAGCTGCCAAGCATGGATCTAGACCCAGCCCTACTGAAAATAGATCAAATTAACGATCGCGCCCACGTGTTCGTGGACCAGGAACTGGTGGGCACACTCTCCCGCGAGGCCCAGATCTACTCGCTGCCGCTTAGCAAGGGCTGGGGCAGCACGCTGCAACTGCTGGTGGAGAACCAAGGACGCGTCAACTTCTACATCTCCAACGACACGAAGGGCATCTTTGGCGAGGTGAGTATGCAGCTGCACAATGGTGGTTACCTACCACTGGAGAACTGGCGCAGTACCGCTTTCCCGCTGGAGCAATCCGCCATCGAGCTCTGGCGCCGCGAACACAGCAACCAGAAGGTCATGGATCCGCTGCTGGCAAGGCAACGCATTCTTCGGAACGGACCCATCCTCTACACTGGCAGCCTGACAGTGACGGAGGTGGGCGACACCTATTTGAACATGGCCGGTTGGGGCAAGGGTGTGGCCTACGTCAACGGCTTTAATCTGGGACGCTACTGGCCTGTGGCTGGACCACAGGTCACTTTGTACGTGCCCAACGAAATCCTGCAAGTGGGCGAGAACTCGCTGGTCATCCTTGAGTACCAACGAACGAATAAGACGGCAACAGGCGAGGATCTGCCTGCGGTGCAGTTTGATGCAGTTGCTCAGCTGGACGGGGAGTCAGGTGATGTGCCACTTAAATGATGGACCGCGTGTTAATTGTTATTCGGTATTTCTTTATTTGAAGCGTTTTGATTGATACTTGTGTCAACAACCTTCGTTAAGCATTATTATAAATGTTCTAACTCTTATAAATCTATGTTTATATACGCCTTAATAAATTGCTGTTGACCTTTGCTTGACTGACTCTATTCGATCTCCAGCTTATTTTCAATTGACTTTTTGCGTTACCATTATAGCAGAATGTTAACTATTGTGTTTTTACACATTATTTATCGTACTATGTTCGTGATTTCATAAGCTTAGTTTTTTTTAAACATTGCACAGGGTAATTTGGCCAGATGTTTGTAAAATAAAACCTATAGGACATATAACCAATAGGAAATATATAGTTTTAATTAGGTTTCAATTTGAATGCCCACCTTGTACAATGGTATACGCAATTTGGAAATACAAATAATGTCTTAGCTGCCACATCTGACCAATTGCTCAAATGCAAGTGTACATAGAAGGTTTTTGGGCTTATTTTGTATCATTAATAACATGCAATGTACTTATGGTATTTAGGTAAAAGCATTTTATCTATCCTTATCTGTCCTTTTGAGCATTACAGCAATGCAGGCGTTGAGTTTCGATTAAATATTGAACAGCAATAAAAGTATGAACTGTTTTATAAATATACGTTTGCAGACTGAGTTCATAGAGTTTTAAACAGTTTAGGAAAACGGTTGGATACTGTTAGTTAAATTAGTTATATTTTTAATCTGACTAAGATTGGCGGTTATCTAAAGTTATTCAAGTGACAGTTCATTGGACCTTCCAGCTATTTGGAGAACACAGAAATGTAATACTCTGTTCGGGGCAGTGGCGTTTATAATCTTCATTACTTTTGATTAGAATGTTTGCGAAAATGTATAAATAATACTAACATCAGAGTCACTGAATACTACGTCTCTTTGCAATATAGATTTAAAAAGGTACAAGAGCGAATCAATGTTTTCCTTGTGAATCATGTTACAAGTGCGCTTCTAAGCAATTAAACCAGCAATTGACTTACTTGTTACTCAATTATAATTGCATGTTGCAAAAATATATTCATATGCTGTATAGCTAACCATTTGTGCATAAATTTAGTTCAAGCTCATTAATATTAATACGCAAGTGGTATTGCTTTTTCCATTTCTCGATCTGTGATATTGACATTTTCACAGAACTGCATTTTGTTCTTCGCTTATAAAAATAACTATTATTTTGAAGACAAAAATACGTTGTGCTAGGTTGTATTTGCTCAGTTTAGGATTGAGATTCGTGGTTTGTTCATTCGTTTTGTTGGAAATTGTTGCATTTAATTTCGGTTTCTCTATACTTTTCTTTAAAAATATATCACAGCTGCATTTCAAGATAAATTTTTTCATTTTTCCTATGCCTCCTTTCACTTTCTTGTAAAATGTTTAGAAAATCTATTTAAAATGTTTTGCTTTTTTTTTGTTCTCATTTGTTCTTGGGCAAAGGGAAGCCGACGTAAAAACAGCAACAAATTTGGCAACCTAGTTAATATTAGTCAATGTCCACGAAGACGGAATGCGTTTGCTTTAGTTAGACACATAGCGTACTCTTGAGTATAAAAGGGATTATGGGTTAAACTGGGTCGAGTTTATGGACGCAAAAAGTAGATAAATCGTGGAAGTGAAATCTAACCCATGAACATTTTATGCCAGTACTGGTAAGCAACGTATATCCCGGAAATCAGCTTTTACGCATTTGTGTTTTTCTTATCAAAAGCGGAGGTTCAATCGTAATTTCCGGAACATAGTTCGAATGGCAATAGCGTAAAGAATTGTTCATGGACTAGATTCTACCAGCGATTTTCGTGCATCCAAATCGATCCACCCTAGTGCGGGTTTACAAGGAATGTATAGTATAGTTAACGAACCGGAGCGTAGATGAGTAGTTACAGATTCTTGTTTGAAGTTGGTGGATGCTCCACGTTGCTTACCTCGAAGTTCCCCCAAATCCTTCGCCGCCTTGGGTGTCCTTCTAAATGGCCGTTGGAGCAGGCAGAGCCATTTGTCAGTGCCACTTTGATTTTTGAGTGTAGATATCGGCACGCAGGTTCTGAGCAAAGCAAATGCCCAAAATCTATAAAAAGTGTATCGTTATTAGAATGATCATGTGCATTTTCATAGTGGGGTAAATAATTAAATCAAACAGAAACCTGGAAAAACATCAGAACTATAACAGTAGTGGAAATAATAATCAAGTTGTTATCCATCCATTCTTCGCCTGCTTGAACACAGCCCTTTTCATAGATTATTTTGGACAACTCCTGGTAGGAAAATAAAAGGTCCATGAAAAGAGAACAAAATATAAAAATAAATAAATTCTGTGAGAAATTATAAAACATAAAGTTGCAACTACATTTCGTTAGTCTCAACGTTCAAAGCAATAATTAAAACCACATTTTCAAACATACAAAAAAATGATACTGATTCACGGCGAAAGCTTTTCAGAAAATTGGGTACAAGGTTTTCGAAATTTGGCAAAACCGCTCATTTAAACTAAAATAGCAAAGTTAAAATTTCTAGATTCTAAATACACAACGACTATAGAAATCAGTGTTTTGCACCTGCAGGATCAGCAGAGCCACGCAACCGATCGCCACACTAATAAGATGCGCCTCCAGCCAATCCTCGCCAGCGCGCAAGCAGCCACGCTCATGTATATTCCTATCCACCGGCTGCATGCGTACAATTCGTGGGTAATTTACAATATTTTGCGAAAAGACAGGGTAAAGCAACTAGAAGACTTACGTGTCCTTCCTTTCGAACATCGTATCCGCATTGCTTGTTTTTGATCACCTCCTGGGGACGCCGGCGGCAGCAGGAGAAGGGCACCCCGCACGCCTCCCTGCTGCCAATAGCGATGGACGAGCAATTAAAGTAGTTGTTGCTGTCCCAGTCCTTTGGGCCATCAATGCCGCAACACTGCAGCCAATCCTCCTGGATCCAGTCAATGAGATTCTGCTGGTCTGCGTCCTCGCGATAGTGGCGGATGAAGGCCTTCAGTCCCTCGGTGGCCTGGTCTTTGATCTGGAAAAGGTAAGTCTTAGTAGTCGTTCGCTTGAGTAGTGGCCTTCAAATCGAACTCACCCAACCCTTGTCCTTGAGCACGAAGGCCACGGCACAAAAGCCGATCTCTGCGATAAGCAGGACACTCAGGAAGATGGCGTACTGCAAGCGGAAACCAGAAGATCAGGATCAAGAGGAATCAACTAACAATGGAATACCCACCGCCCCCAGGAGGCAGGTGTTCTCGCGCAAGGCGCCCACGCTGCCCATGAATCCCAGCAAGAAGGTGACGCCACCCAGGACAATGAGCACGAAGGCCGGGTCCAGGGCGATGAAGTGCAGCCGATAAATGTTGCGGAACATGCCCTTCTCGCTCCAGGCCCAGATGCCAATGGAGAGGACCAGCAGGGCCGAGAGCCACAGGATCACATTGCTGGAAAACAGAAGGTACTTCAGGCAGCAGCTGATTTCACTGGTCTCGCGGCGGAACTTGCGCACAGCAGCTGGCATTGCTCCAATTTTAACAATAATAAATATGGCCAAAAGGAAACAAAAACGTATGAAATTCTGCTCGCCAGTGTGACCGTGACTGCACTTTTTTTATCACGCAGTGTGACCGCTGCGACTACGGTACAAATATTACCGTTCCCTTACAAAACCGCCATTTTGTCCAAAGCTTATGCACATTAAAACTTGGATGGATGTTCTTCCAGCTCATTTTGTTTTTGTAGTCACAATTGAATCAACAATGAATTTTACAGAAACAAAAAAAAATAAAACAAAAATAATTCGTTAATACGAATTACTTTTGATTATCCAAAAATCTACAGTACTAGAAATCTGTTGAACTTTTTGTTACTGTCAAAATAGTTGACACAACAGAGGTTTATTTGTTTTGTTATTTATCAAAGGCATAACTTCAGTGTGTAAAAGCTAACAGCGGTTCCATATAGCACACATTGTCCTAATATAATTGTAAGCCAAGTATGTTTTGCACACATGCAAAATATTAATATTAATAATATTAATATATTAATAATAATTATTAATTAATTATTAATAATTATTAATTAATATTAATATTGATAAACTAACCGTGCGTATATGCATGATGGATCCCCATTGAAACAATTGTCGGTGAACCGACATAGTTTTAATCGCGTCGCCAGCTAGACTGAGTAATGCCTCTGACCGAAGCGCTCTTGATTCCAATGCGTGTACGAAACAATAAACGGGTGGATCGGAGATAAGAACGGATCCGATGCGTCGACCTCCGATAAGAAAGTGATTTTGATTTGAAAGCCAGTGCTGAACAACGCCGCCAGGGACTGGTATTTTTCCGAACTTTAATGGGGCAAATCAGCGTTTCTGGCACTTCGACGACGGGTCACACTGGACACATGTAGCAGGAAAAAACGCAGACATCGGAGAAAGAAATCAGAAAAGTAAATTCGCATTAAATCCAGCTCGCCAGCGCCGTGCTCGGTGGTTTTATGGAACACTCATTTCGATCACATAGCGAGCGTGCGCGGCCCAACTTCCTATGACGACAGTGAGTTTTTGCCCAGTGTAGGGTGCCCAGTACCCCAGCCAAGTGCGAGTGTATGCGTGCCAGTGTGTGAGTTTGAGGGCACTTCTGATGGCTGAAAACGTTTAATTAGCAGCGAAAAGCGATAAACTAGCTAAACGCAAACGCCCACCTGGCCAAGTCGGTGGATATAGATCAGGAAAAGTGCGGATTGCAGACTCTGCGTTGGCCAACAGCGAAAACAACCCCCCGCACTAGTCCGTGGAAAATGTTTGTATGTGTGTTCCCTCTGCTGGCAGCGCAATCGGGACTCCGAAAATCCGTAATAATTGTGAAAATCCGGCCAGAATTTAATGGCAGTTCGCGGCTAGGTTAGGAACCACGTCGCCCATGGAATAGATTACGGTGGAAATCCGCGGACGGAAAATCGCGCACCAATTGCATACGCCACCAGAGCAGCGACAGCGCTGCAAAGTGCGTTGCGTCGCTGCCCGGTCGCCATCATAGCAAAAAATATTGTGATCCCACGCCTGGAAAACCTACATATGTACATATGCCACTGGGGCCATCAAGTTTATAGTGGATATATAGCGCCAGTTGGGCTATTCGCGGGGAGTTACTATTTCGAAAAGTACAGTGCTGCATTCACCTTCCAAAAAAAAAAAAAAAACAGCTCAGCTTTTCTGTTTCCGCTCCCCGCCCCCCGCTGGAAATGTGCAATATGGCAGGGCAAATGCGTAAAAAGTTACGTTCCTGCTAGAAAGTAACCAATATATCCAGTGCTAATTTCGCCCAATCCATCCATATTTATGTACATGCTCGGATGTGCGAATGTGTGTGCCTGTGTATTCGCGTACCTGTGTCTGTCGTCGTGCCCCGTGTCCGTGTAAGCTGTTTGTTTGTGCCCGTGTAAGCTGCGTGCGGGTGTGTGTGCGCGGCTGAAAATGGAAATTATATAAAAGAAGCTTTCGGCTTAGGCTGCTTTTCCGAGCGATCGGCGGTCGCAGAACAGGAAATCAGTTTCCCCCGCACCCCAAAACAATAGCAATAACAGCGAACAGCTGGTTGCAGTTTGAAAAACGACACTTGCCACGCCGTGCACCCCAATCAATAATCCGAAATCGTAATCCACCGATTTTGATTTGGAACGGATTCGCGTAGAAATAATATCCCATTATCCCGAGCAGCGCAGTAAACGCAGCATGCCTCTGCCGGCGTCGCTGCCGCCGATGTACTTTGCTCACTTGATACACAAAAACGGTACTCGTCGTCGCTCATCTCGCTCTCTCTAGGAGAGAGCGGGCTCTTCCTGATCAAGCACACGGGAAACTATACACACACACACTCACACACGCACTGCCAGTCAGTCAGGCAAGCACACATTGCCCACCCACTTTTACTCCCTTTTTGGTGGTGGCAGCGGTGGCCGTGGCGCCCCACATTCGGGCGAGAGTGTGTGTGCGGCACAACAACCACCAAAGCAAAGCTCTGCCCCGGCGGCTTCCTTTTGTCTAGCTGACAAACGCGAAAAATCAGTTGGGAACTCCAGCCGGAAGTTGAAGTTGGCAGCGAATTTCAACATGGCTTCGTTTCCGCTTCTGGATTTCGTCAGCTGAATTCGGAAAAATAGCAGCTTTCACCTTTTGCTCAGTGTATGTGTGCGTGCGCGTGTGTGTGTGAAGGTCCTGTGTGCAGAATGTTTTGAATACAATGCGTATAATCCCCTTGTACACACTCGGTGTATACATGTTCCCTATTGAATTTGTAAGTTTATTGGTCGCTATGTTATACATACACACGGCCAGGAAATCCCCCCTGTTCGTGTCCGGGGTTGTGCCTGTATTGGCGTGCTCCACTTTTGTATGCAACAAATTCAGTGCTGCTGGCTAATCGCCGCTGCATTCTCGCTCTCTCTCACTCTCTACCTATTACTCCTCGGGAGAAGTAAGCATGCGAGAAGGGCATTACTAGGTGCAGTTACCTAGGTCCAGTCCAGTTGCCCGTCCTGCGATCCCGCCGGCGGCACGGGATACAACCTCGCAATCGAAGTAAGCGTTGCACTTGCACCGTCGCAAAGTCGTGTTTTCACCTCCGTAAATGTTTGTTTACCTGCGAGGGTTGAGTGCAGGCACCAAAACACATACAAACACACACACACACAGGTGTGCGGCGATTTGATGTAGATACAGTGGGCCACAGGGGTTCCCTATCCGATCAATAGGAGCGGTAGAAAAGTGCAACAGCGACGCCAGTTCTCGGTGGATAATAACCAATCTAAATCTGTCGACGGGGCAACGATTCGTTAATTAATGCAAGGGACGCGGGGTGGGAGTGTGTGTATCTGAAAAGCCACCATAATAGCACAACCAACAACAAGTAACCCCTAGCTGTTGAAATATGCTTACTTATATCAAAACTGAAGTACCTAATATCGCCATCTACCACAAAAAATGTCTCATTTCTTGAGTTATTGCAAATAAACATAAACTTTCACTGGCTTAAAAGTCAAATGGAAATAACGTTGTAATTAAGGCGAATTTAATTGATAAATTAGGTCGATAAAAAATAAAACAACAGTCAATAAGCCTTTGCTTACGAGCAACTTTAGTTGATGAATACTGTAGTTGAAGCGAAAATAAACTAAAATAAGTAAACTTTCAAGGCGTGTGGCTCAGAGCTGCCACAATAATTAAATAACCGAGACAGGTCTTTCAACCCTAGCAACGAAAACAACCTGTCCAAAGGGCATTTAATATTACCAAGTTGTGAACTCCTGAACTCATCCGTAACTACTTTCTCCATTTTAGAACCGAGCGCAATAAATCGAATCTGAACTCATCTTAAAGCCATGTCCGCCAAGACTGAGGCGGACAACACGACGGCCGCCAACTCCGGCGGCGGAGGCGGAGCAGTCGGGAGCGGCACATCATCCGCCGGCGGCGCATCCGCGAACGGAACAGCCACTCCGGCACGCCGCCTGCGCACCCGTAACTCAACGGGCAACGGAACCAATAGCGGAAGCGAGTCCGTAAAGAAGTCCAACGCCAACGACGAGCCCTCGACCCCAGTCACCCCGGCAGGAGCAACAGGATCTCACAACCATGTTCCGCCAGGAGCCTCTCCGGCGGTTATTGAACGGCCTATGCCCAGTGTTCCCATGAATCACGCCAGCAGCAGTGTGTCAGCCAGCAAAAAGTACCACAATAGCTGTCCACATCCCACGCCCACGCCTGCGCCCACTGGGCACAAGAAGTCGGTGCACACGCAGCCGCATAGCACCAACAAGTTTGACCAGGGAAAGAACGAAGAGTTCCACTTCGATACGCCGCCAGAGTGCCCCGTTTTCCGGCCCACAACTGAGGAGTTCAAGAATCCGCTGGCCTACATCAGCAAGATCCGCTCCATAGCTGAGAAGTGCGGAATTGCAAAGATCCTGCCGCCGGCCACCTGGTCGCCGCCGTTTGCGGTGGACGTGGACAAGCTACGCTTCGTGCCACGTGTCCAGCGCCTGAATGAGCTGGAGGCCAAGACGCGCGTCAAACTCAACTTCCTTGATCAGATCGCAAAGTTTTGGGAGCTGCAAGGCTCTTCGCTAAAGATCCCAATGGTGGAGCGCAAGGCCCTTGACTTGTACACGCTGCACCGCATCGTGCAGGAGGAGGGGGGCATGGAGCAAACCACAAAGGATCGCAAGTGGGCCAAGGTGGCCAACCGGATGCAGTACCCTTCCAGCAAAAGTGTGGGCGCCACCCTGAAGGCGCACTACGAACGCATCTTGCATCCCTTTGAGGTATACACGTCGGGAAAGGTTCTAGGACCCAACGCAGCCTCGTCTGGATCTGGTGGCTCGCCCGTCAAGTTGGAGGATGGGAGCGGAACCGACTATAAAGCCCATGAAATTCCCACACGGCAGCAAATAGCGCCGCCCAACGAGACAAACACACGCCGCTCTAAGCGTTTCGGTAACTCCAATGCCAGCTGCGGCCTGAGTGGCGTCACACCAACGACAAAGCCATCCGCGGGCGTCTTTGTCAAGACGGAGACCAAGGAAGAATTTAAGAGGGATCTCCTCAGCAGCTTCAATGCT